TCACATTACATGTGACCCCTGCCAACATTACAATATATAGATGAATGATATCATTTATTATCATCTATATATCTAAATTTCATCTTCATCCCTGAAATCACATTACAACATGCTGCATATGACATGGACCCCCAAGACAACTAACGGTAACATGCGCGGCTGGTTGCTTGGGGATGAAAAACCCCACAGCGAAGCATGCGAAGCATGCGAAGCGGCTGGTTGGCCTCCATAGGGATGACTTCAGGTTTTTCGTAATGGTTTTTTACAAAGTATCATGAAAGCCATTTAGTTATCTAAATAAATCATGAATTGGATGGCCACTGGGTTTCAAGATACTTTGTTAAGGTTTCATGAATAGTCTGTAGTATCATGAATTCGTAAGGTTTTCATTTGATGACTTCTTTCTGCAAATAACCATCTTTCACCGAAAACCTGGTGAAAACCTGGTGGCCATTGCTACCAGGCTACCTACAGACTATCGACCACGCACAACTCCCTTGGGTTGGGATATGCCCCTTGGACACGAACAGAGGACCACGCACTGACTTGCTCCACTGCCATCGGCATGTCCCTAGCCCATTCAGAAATGGCAACCTACAAGATTCTTTTTTTGTTTACCCAGCAAAAACATCTAAGAACACAATTCGAACCACCAAAAAAATTCAGAACGGGAAAAAAATCCAGATCTTCAAAAAAAAGTCTTTCAAAATGGTCCGACGGCAGCCTCGCCCCCGCCCATCATCGCCCATCCCCAAGAGCATTTGGAAAGACGCAACCAACCACTTCCACAGACGTGTCCACAGATTTCTGGCTTTTTTGCTGCGCAGTATTTTTCTTAGATTATTTTAGGTGTTTGTTAGGCCTATTGGCCGAAGGTATCAAATGATGACCTATAAAAAAGGGGTTCTAGGAAAATATGTGACATTTGGTTCCAATGTATGTATAGTATATAATGTGTATGTATATATATATGTGATATAGTGGGTGAACCTATAAAGCATGGTATTCACCCACGAATAGATTGAAAATGAGAAAAGCAGTGGTGAAAACCATATTACATTTCGTTCGGATCATATGATGGAAACCCATGTTTTTTTCTGTGAAAACAAGTGCCATCTTTATCACACTTGGCGATGTGTGAATATAATGTCAAATGTCAAAGTTATCTTATACCCTCCGGAAATCAGTCACATGGTCTGCTTTTTAAATCTCTCATTTCGTTGGATCATCTTCCCAGCTTTTTTAACCTCCAATTCTAGATGTGTTCTGTGTTTTCCACTGAAACCTTCATGTCATTAGATGATTTGCCCATTGAAAATCCACGTTTTTCCACCATTTTTCAGCCAGGAAAAAATGGCTAAGCCCCTCCATGCCCCTCCTGCATAATGGACGGATGGACGGCACCTGCCAACATCAAATCAAACCTGGGACAACGACATCGCAGATGGGTTGGTGGTGCCACGATGTGAACGTTGGACGGACGGTTTTAAAAATATCAAGGCCATGGAGTAGTTCGAAATGGGGGTCAAGTCATTGGCTACTCCAATGAGATGATACTAAAGATATGTTGACCCAATCTGTGGTAACAAATGGCTTGAATGTTGACCCATGTCCCCATGAAATCATCTACCATGTAGTCACCATAGTCACCATAGAAATTCACCGAGTTTGAACGCAGTAAAAACTGCGACACGGAGCTGGGTTGCACCTCAAAAAGCCGTGGCATTTTGCCATAGGGAAATGATCAACCATCAGATCTTCGATTTCAGGGCTACCCATCCCACGAACTGAAAAAATCACCGGCAGAGCCCCAATGATGCCCGATGATCAGCCAGAAAAACCATCAAGATCTTAGACTTTACAACCCACATCAGCCCACATGTTTTGCCCATTTGACCAATTTTTTCTGCTGTAGCTGTCACCTATTAATTACATATGAATGTGGGTAAAAGAATGTCATAAACCAGCCATGACTGGGAATGGTAACCATACCACACAGTCAAAAATTGTGATGACTGGGGGATTGTTGTTTTAATTGTTTTACCCACATGGGTTTGTCTGAAAATGGGGTATATTCCCAACTATAGCCATTTAATAGGGATAATGATCATTAACCATTGGGTGTAGGGGTACACTATTTTCAGACAAACCCACATTATACTATATTATTCCTATTTTGGGAACCCACCATCTGAAAATAAACATTTGGAGTCCCTGGGGCTCCAGTCTTCAGAATTGCAAACATGCACAACTCTTGGGTCCCAACAAGCCATACACAAGCATGTCAGCGCAAAACATCGTGGTTTCTATGAAATATAGATTGAAATAGTGAATATTGGTTCTGTTTATAGATGCTACCTTTGAACATCCAACGAAATTGTCCAATGAACAGATTGTTATTGTATCAATGCCACATAAACTGGTCCAATTTCATTTTCCGGATCAAAATTGTCCCCATTCAAACTGCAATCTTGATCCATATCCCAATTTTGGACAACCCCATATCCATCATTCGTTGCTAGTGGGTCCCTATTTTCTGCAGGTTATGATCCCAGTTCTGGTTGGTTAAGACCTAGTTCTGGTTAAGACCCAAATCTCTTAGCCGGTATTCTCCTGATCGAAACCTGAAAAAAGCGCATGAACAATCCATCAATCTTCCCATGGAAAAAGTCGTATATGTTTCAGTGATCCACATCCACATCCAACATCATCCAACTCTTCATCCATCCATCTATCCACGCTTAAAATCATCAACGGATCATCCATCCACGATGCCATCCAGTGATACTCAATCCATGGGATCCATGGGATCTCTGTAGGTCCGATTCTGAGCCGTCCCAACAGCTCGAAGTCAGGGTCGTCGCGATATGCCTGCCACGGCTTTCGAGAGAAATCGATCGTGATGTTTGTCCGATTCTTTGAAGATCGTGCAGGCAGTTACTGTTGTTGTCAAGAAGGGACACCTAAAAAAGTGCATTTCTTTGAAAGATTAATTGTTGTGAATTAGGTATTTGTTAGTTTCATTTTTTAAATTTTTTGAAGATCTTGTTGTCAATTAAATAGTTTCAAGTACTGTAGCGCTGCATATTAGGCCCAAGCATCCCAGTCGTGGATGACCATGACGACTAGTATGGCTTCAGCCCAGAATGTGACGACTGGGGTACCCCCATTTTTCGGAAACCCCCATATTGATGTACATATGGAAAAATATGGATCTATGTACTCAAATCCATATTGGAAAATTGAAGATCTATGTACTTTTATTAGAGTATCTTCCAACATGTTGGAAGAATAGATACCTGGCAATGTCCATTCTGAACACAGCTGGTTCATCGAATATCACCGTACGTTCTGACAGTAATTGAAGTACTCAATGGATCGCCACCCAAGGTTCTGCTCGCAACGGAAAACCGAAAACACAACATGGAATGTCGTGCGATTCATAAAGAAACTCTGTGGGTAAACAATAATAAACCATCCCCCAAATCACCATCAATAGGTGGTATAAACCATTCCCAAACGGGTTACATTATGTTACATTAGTGTTTTTTTGTTTCCCTGAATTCATCCTTCACCAATCTGAAGTCTTTAATGAAACACCATGAAGCCATCTAAATCGCGTGGCCGCGCTTTTCCGTCGCTTTCCCGCGCTGGATAGCCTCACTTGCTGGATAGCCTCCCTGCAGCTGAGAATCAAGGGAGTAAGGGAAATTTCTATGACATCACTGATTTTCATGGCTGAAGCATGTATTTCACCACTGAAACACTGGAAATTGATGGAAATTGCCTGTTTTGGGTCCTCAAATTGGATTTTGCTGGTCTATGATTTGTGAAAACTTCAGCAGTTTGCACACAGCGTTTGCAGATTGGAAGGATCTTCCAATCATAAACCCGTTCTGGAATAGTTTCCCTTACCAACCATCACTGTCTAAATACTGTAGTCAGGTCCTTGTTTCATTTGCCAAATTCTTCGTGTGGTTTCAATGGTCAAAAAGATGGTATTTACCCAAAAATACAACTCTTGTTTTCGCCATTTACCCAATCAAAAGAATCCGAGGGTATCATACACTGCAGCCCCAAGAATGAATCTATTCTTGGTGGTAACTCTCTCTTGGACAAACCCGTGTATCCCAAGGCCGGAAGAGCTATCCCTCAAGGCCGGAAGGCATCATAGAATGAGTGACTGATGACGATGGCCATTACAATCTAGATCATCTCACCAAGGTTAAGAAGCCCCATGCTATCTTTGGCGAAGTTCATCTGTGTTCGGCCCAAAGATCAAGTGCAACTTGTTGGTCATTGTTTCCGGATGATTTGCGGTTTCATTTCCAAAATTGTTTGTTTCCAGTTTGAAACAACAGTAGTTCATTGAACTGGGTCCGGGAACATTTTCAGGAAAAGATGTTGTTCCTGGCAATTATAAGCGGAGCCCCTCCAGAAATGCTTAGACAATCTTAGACATGTATATGAGGCGCCGTAAGGGGACTGATCCCATCGGATTGAACGAACTATTACTTCCGGTTTCAATCATACCAAACAAAGCCACTGTATATACATATACATATACATATATATATACATATATATACATATATATACGCATATATATATATATATATTATATATATATATATATCGCCGCTAATATCCCAATGATAACCCATCCCTGTGGGTTAAATGTCCTATTTTACCCCAACAATCTAAGGTGATCATCCACAATGAAGCCAGTGGTAATCTATGAGACATGGAGATTCTCTAGGGTATGTCTAATGCTTACCCTGGGCTAAACGTACAATAACTCACATAGGTGTGGAACATTTCCATGATTTTCCTAGGAAAAGTGAGCGACAGTCATGGTGAGTTCCCCATACCTATGGTCCATGTTAGACCTGGATCCCGGCGCAGAATCACATCATTGACTTCGGTGTGGTGCGCCCCGACTGGCTCGGTGGCTTGGCTCCGAAAACTGGGTGAATTAAAGTTTTCCCACGGTTTCCCACCTGACGCATGGAATCTTGACCTTCGGCAGGTTGCGAAAGTATGTAGAAGTCTCAACATGAAGCTAGCAGCTAGGGATGGGTAGTTCAGTAGCTCAAGCCAGGGGCACCCCAAGTGATGGATGATGAGATCCAAAATCACGTGCGATCGTTGAGAAACCCAGAAGCCAGTGATCGTGAAAAGAAGGAGGCTGCAGAAATTTTGGCAAACTTGGCAACGGATGACCAGAACAAGGCAGCCATCGCAGCTGCGGGTGGCATTCCTCCGCTGGTAGCACTGGTCACGAGTGGCAGCGATTCTGCGAAGGGTTGTGCTGCACGTGCTTTGAAAACCTTGGCAAAGAATGACCAGAACAAGGCAGCCATCGCAGCTGCGGGTGGCATTTCTCCGTTGGTAGCACTGGTCACAAGTGGCAGCGATTCTGCGAAGGAAAATGCTGCACGTGCTTTGGCAAACTTGGCATTGATTGACCAGAACAGGGCAGCCATCGCAGCTGCGGCTGGTATTCCTCCGCTGGTAGCACTGGTCACCCGTGGCAGCGATTCTGCCAAGGAAGAAGCTGCACGTGCTTTGGGAATCTTGGCGACGAATGACCAGAACAGGGCAGCCATCGCAGCTGCCGGTGGCATTCCTCCGCTGGTAGCACTGGTCACAAGTGGCAGCGACTCAGCGAAGAAAAATGCTGCACTTGCTTTGGGAAACTTGGCAAGGAATGACCAGAACAGGGCAGCCATCGCAGCTGCGGGTGGCATTCCTCCGCTGGTAGCACTGGTCACAAGTGGCAGCGATTCTGCCAAGGAATATGCTGCAGGTGCTTTGGGAAGCTTGGCATGGAATGGCCAGAACAAGGCAGCCATTGCAGCTGCGGGTGGCATTCCTCCGCTGGTAGCACTGGTCACAAGTGGCAGCGATTCTGCCAAGGAAGAAGCTGCACGTGCTTTGGGAATCTTGGCAACGAATGACCAGAACAGGGCAGCCATCGCAGCTGCTGGTGGCATTCCTCCGCTGGTAGCCTTGGTCACAAGTGGCAGCGATTCTGCCAAGGAATATGCTGCACGTGCTTTGGGAAACTTGGCAAGGAATGACCAGAACAGGGCAGCCATCGCAGCTGCGGGTGGCATTCCTCCGCTGGCAACTCTGATCACAAGTGGTAGCGATTCTGCCAAGGAATATGCTGCAGGTGCTTTGGGAAGCTTGGCAAGGAATGACCAGAACGGGGCAGCCATCGCAGCTGCCGGTGGCATTCCTCCGCTGGTAGCACTGGTCACAAGTGTCAGAGATTCTGCCAAGGAAGATGCCGCAAAGGCTTTGAAAAACCTGGCAACCAGAACAGGGCAGCCATCGCAGCTGCGGGTGGCATTCCTCCGCTGGTAGCACTGGTCACAAGTGGCAGCGATTCTGCCAAGGAAGAAGCTGCACGTGCTTTGGGAATCTTGGCAGTGAATGATCATAACAGGGCAGCCATCGCAGCTGCCGGTGGCCTTCCTCCGCTGGTAGCGCTTGTCACAAGTGGCAGCGATGCTGCACATGGTTTGGGAAACTTGGCAACGAATGACCAGAACAAGGCAGCCATCATGGCAGCCGGCGGAGTCCAAGCTCTTCAGGAGATTGCCAAAGATGGCAAGATGCTGGTGCACCGACAGGTGGCGCAGGAAGCTCTGAAGCATTTTCCCCGCGAGTCCGACTCTGCAGAAGGCGGCACCAAGCTTGGCAGCGATCCGGCGACAAAGCCGAGCACTATTGTCTCCGCGGAGAAGCTTCGGGGTGAGATGAGGAACATATCCAGTGATACCCCAAGAACGCCCGCAAGATTTGATCAAAAATGCCCCTATGTTTTCTGGGAAAACACCAAGCTCTTGAAATCCCCGGTTTTCTGAGCCATGCATCATGGGTATAGAATTCCCTTTTCATAGATTGACGGCCAACCCTGAAGCAATGGCTCAATGTGGTTCACCGGAAAAAAAAAAAACATCCCAGAAACCAATCATGATTGGCTCGTGTGGGTCAAAATTCAAATCATCCCAGTCAAAGAGAGATACCCAATAGAACATAAACCCCAATCAAAAATGGTGACTGTGGCATAGGCTTTATATATTTATTTATGTATATATATATATATTTATTTATCAAATGTATCCAAACTAACTACATCCAACTACACCCTAAACATTCATAAACTGCTGCAGTTTCCCATGGAAAATCACCATGTTTCATAGCTCAATCAGCGCACCTCTTGCACCTTTCCAGCCTCCCGCTGCATCACCTGGCCGATGATTTATGGCATATTTATGGCTTCCGACTGAACAAAAAGTGATTCTATTCATAGCTCCAAAATTACAACATGGAAAGCCACGTTCTTGTGCTGTGGAAGATTGTTTTCCTATTGGATATCTTTTTTGTAAACATGGCTGTGTTCCAATTCTAAATCTGTGGGGTTAGCAAGATTTACGGCCATATCCAGTAGAAAAATCCTGGAGACCCCGCCCACTTAGATTTAGATGGCAGAAATGACTGGGAATCATTGGCAAATGTGGGACATGAAGACACGTGTCTTATTAGAAATACTTTAGGCGTGATTTCCCATCTCTGGAATCACATGATTTCCCCTAAAGATGGGGCGTCTTCGACATACATTCATATGTTTACCAACCTGTTTTCACCAACTTAGGGATTTGTCCCATCATCTTGGGAATGGAACATCATCCCAACTGACGAACTCACTCACTCCATCATTTTTCAAGATGCAAATGGTCAACCACCAACTTAGATCATGAAAGTCCTCATCATTTTCAGCAGGAAAACCACCAGAGATTTCACCAGAAATTTCATGTTCTTCTGGGATCTTCTGCGCCGCTGTGGTGAAGTTATTCACCCACCGCGATGAAAAAAGCTGACAGCTCTACGGGTTCGTTTTGTCATGTTTTATCTCTATCTGGTTGGTGGTTGTTAAACAACCCCCCTGAAAAATATGAAAATCTCATGTTCTGGTTGGTGGTTTCAACCAACCATCTTGAAAAGTCATGGAGTGAGTGAAAGTCAATGGGAAGGATGACATCCCATAAATGATGGAAAATAAGAAATGTTTGAAACCACCAACCAGTGTTTTATCTCAATGATTTTTTGCACCGGAATCTATCGTAAACAGAGGGAAATTGCCATGCTCAAAATTGATCCAGCACTGTCCACCTGGCGATTTTTTTTTCCGGCTCCACGTCCAGCGCCCTTCACGGCGGTTGGGCCTCCAAGAAATGTGCAAAGTCGGTTGAAGCGGTCAAGGCATCGAGGAAACTCCAGAACTCAGCCACTTTGATCCCTGAGAAAATCGCTGGCACCGCTCGTCGTGGGGACCGAAACTGGCCATGGAGGCGTGGAAAACCACCATGCTTCAAATAGTTAAATCATTTATTTTATAATAACCAGAACTATTATAAATAGCGAACTGGAAAACCACTATGAATTAATAAATGGTTTATAGACGATTATCTATTAATTTATGATGATTTACCATAGCCATGTGAATTCTCCCAGGTTATGATTTACCATTGACCATGTTATGATAAATCATCTATTAATAACCATTAAATGGTAAATAACCAGAGAGCCATGGTCCCCATGGTTTTCATGAAATGGGGACCATGTTTCATGAAAAATCAACATAGCTATGGTAAATCATCTATTAATGAAATGGGTCATGTTCCAGTTCGCTATGTTAAACAACCAGAGGGTATGTGTGCCCCAAAATCGTTCCAAGATGGTCGGGAGGGTAAGCTTTTGAGGTCAGGATCTGCGCGCTTTTTTCAACTAGTAGATCGAACCACTTGCCTTGTGAAAATATCTTACTATTATAGAAACCAGATGGTCACTTTCAGTAGGTGTATCATCTTCCTTGAAACAAAAATCAGTTGTATCACACCAGTACACCATAGTACACCTTCAAAACGAAGCCTCCATATAATATGACTGCTTCCCTTGTAACTCCATGGTAAAAACTCCATGGTAAAAACTCCCTTGTAGGCACATCAAATCAACTTTGAGAGAAACATACCTTCACTTTTGAAATATAAAATAGAACCGCTCAAATTGGCTCAGCAAACTGAGTTTCTTATGATTTGGGTTGTCGATCTTAGATTTTTTCGATGTTGACCCAAAACCACCAGACCAACTACGGCGATTGGAGTATCTTACGGCTAGCTATAATTTTGGATATCCAATTTGTCCCACCAAATTTCAAGGATAGTTGAGGATGGTAGTTTTGTGTGCGGGGCACGGGCGTCTTCTCGTGGCTTTGTCTGAAAATAAATGTCCACCAAAATCGACTGCTTTAAAACTTCATTTTCCCAATGGACATGGACATAACACATACTGAAATTCCATGAGTGACCTCTATTTTCAGACATACCCAATCTATGCATTCTATATGTATTCCAAGTTACCCTCCGGTAACTTAACATAGTTGCAGAAAATCAACAATTTTCAAAACGGACAATCATCTATATATATAATATAAATGGGCCATGGCTTCCATAGCAAACGAATTGCCAGAAGGTGACCATCATAAATACATCCAATTAAATCCCACTAAAATCCATGGAAATTTCCACTAAATCATCTTAAGTTATATTAAATTACAATTTAGTGCTTGATCAATGGCCATTAAATCCCTTAACATCAAAATACCACGAAAAGCTTATTGGTATAATGAGACATGATAAGTTGGTAAATGGCCCAAGTAATCCCATCAGAAATCACATCAGAAGTCCCATCTGGTTATCCCATCTGGTTCGTCTCCTGGAGCTGGTGGAATGTAGCTAGGCCCACAGCCTCGCTGCTTAGATGGCGCCATGGAGGCCCCATCGAGGCCATGGATGATGACTGGATTGATGATCTACCTGGGGGTACCCCCATGAACGGGAAAACCACCATATGGATTCACAAAATCATAGAAACCAATGGCATAATTTAGTCAGGTCAGGCTACCCTAAGATCCCTAAGTCATGGCTGGTATAGCTGGATGGTTATTCCATGTTATTCCCCCAAAATATATATATATATAGTAATATGAGGTTTTGACCCATCCTATGATGTAATAATGATCCATATATGTTCTCCGGCCTGTTTCTCATGGAAACTCAGCTATGAGGCCTCACCTTTTTGGAACTAGGAGAAACAATAGCAAGCATGAAGTATGAACTAGATGAACTAACGCCAAGAAATGGCTGGACGAAATTTTCATGAACATGTCGATGATTTTGATTGTTTAATTTGAACATGGTCTGATGATTTTGATTGCTGAGAGTTGGATGAGCTTGGTAATGCATGTCACGAAGCCAGCCTAAAACTTTGACATGTCGATCATCAAGCGCTTTATCAATCGAGGTTTGCAACAAATGGTAGATCCTGTACGGTCAAATGTGTTTGCCTTTAATGAGGATGAAGGGAGATATATACGGAGAGTATATTCCAATATTGTATCAAAATGCTAGGAAGATAATTTTCTGGGGACTCTCTGGAAGAGAAGTGCTGTGATGTGAACATATTCTGGATCTCTTTGGGTCCAAATATCATTTCCTAAAATGTGTCTGCAAATGTCATCAGATATTATGTCAAGTGTTGTACTATCTTGACATCTCTTGATGACTGATCACCAAGTATACATATGGAATCATATTGCAAAGGGATATCCTCACAACCACAAGTCCTTTGACATCCAGGAACTGGATAGGAACGTTCCGAACTTTCCATTGGAAAAGGATGGAAAAGTGCTTCCTTTTTGGAAACATCTTTCCCAAGCCCAACATGTTCCTTTTCTATTGCAGTACGACATGGCTCATCTCTGCATGGACAAGGAACACCTCCGTACGCGAAAGTACGGACTAAGATACGCAAGAAATGGACTACTCAGTGGCTGCCAAGAAGAACCAATGTTCATCCCATCGCAAATCTTGAATATGCACTCATGTCAGGTGTTTTGCCAAAAACCATGGCAAAACCGACATGTTTATTTGCTAGATACTCTGGAAAACGTGTTCCTAAATCCCCACTTCTGCGGGAAAAGTCTTGTCCATACAATCCCCATGTTCGTTGATCAACTCCCTACATTTTCTAGTAAAAAACTAGTAAAAAAAACAACATATTTCTTAAATCTAAATGATTGTTGATCCATGTTTAATCTACATGTTCTAGTAAAAAACAACTAATGTGCTGGTCAAATCTCAACCTGTTTCTTCAACAACCAATTCTTCATGGTGGATGAGAGAGGAAACAAACTCTCCAACTCTGCTGAAAAATCACCCAAATGTTCGATCATATTTTCTTGACAACATCTTCGGATGTTCGGTATCTCCATTCCAATTTCTGAGTTCAAATATTTAAAAAGTTGCTAAACAAATCCAACTCGTAATCAAAACTATCTATTGAAATACTATAATATACGTAGAAAAAAAAAACAATAAATGTATCTAAGTTAAACAATAAATGTATCTAAGTTACTTCTAAAATAGATTTTAACTATATATTTCTGGTTGGTGGTATACCTACCCCTCTGAAAAATATTATTCCCAATATATGGAAATTCATAAAATTCCATGGTTCCAAACCACCAACCAGATAATAGTATATAATGGTTGATTAATGGTTAATTACTGGTTAATCATGGTTAAACATGGTCAATAATGGTTAATATATAATGGTTAAATGGTTAAAAATGGTTAATATATCATGGTTAATATATCATGGTTAATATATCATGGTTAATATATCATGGTTACTACTGGTTAATGTATGAATATTGTCTTTTTATTAACCATTATGAAAACCATAGATTAACCATAGATTAACCATTCTTTACCATAGTAAAACCATTGTTTCATCAATGATATCACCAGTTTTACCAACGAGTTTCCCAAGGGAACCTAAACCTGACCTGGAAGGAAGTCTTCGGAAGTTCGCGTCCGAGCCGCCTGGGAGGATAGAAAAAAAAGCTATAGATTTTACCATGGAAACACCAGAGATTTGGGGAAATCTTACGTGTTTTGTTTAATGCTAGGGATATATTCAAGGATTTGTTTGTGGATTCTTGCACGCTTCATCCAACATATTGTTGGATTTCACCACAAATTTGGATTCAAGCAAGAAGAACAGTGGAGTTGACTCACCAACAATAGGTATCTCGATTACAAGCAGATACCTAAGATTGAAGACTACCAACAGAAATGAAACAATGTCTGACTTTCGTCGACCAAACCAATCAATCCATCCCCAAGTCACCATGGTTATGGCTGCGACGCCTACCATCCCCAGTCATAGGTAAGCATGGCCAGAGTGAATACCACAGCAAAAGTCGAGGGGTTCAACCGTTCAACCAAACCACCAACGTTTACCGCAACGATTGGGGGATATCACCAGCAACTTTTAGGGCTGTCTGGCATTGACCACCAAAAATATCGTTGATTGTTCACCAAATTACGAAGCAAAATTAGGGACATACCACCCACGTATCACCAAGAATCCAGTCATATCACCAAGAATCTGTATCCTATGGCTTCTATTCTGGATTTCTGCATCCCATCTTCCATGGGTTTCGACTCCAGGTGGTGCCCCAACGGAATGCTGATCATGAAACTGTTATGGCACTGGGGGCACTTGCATGTATTTATGTATTTTTTTCTTGGATAAAATGGATGCTTGGAAAACTTGAAAGTAATGAAGAAAACACCTATTTTTTTAAAAAAAAAATATTGTTAAATGATTTTGTAGAAAACTCCAAGAAACCTCCAAGAAAAATCCTAAAATATTCGTAGATGGTTTTCCGAAGGAAACCATGGAAAAAGTTCACGCTGCTTGGAGGTGCATCTCAGTTACTGATCAGCCCAAAAAATACCTACTTAGTAGATTAGTAGATTTTCTAAGTGTATATGGTCATTACATGTTATTAGCAATTTTACCAACTGGGCATCCAAGATATCCAAGATATCCAAAGTGTATTGTCACTGTATTGTATCAACTGTATCACTATATATATATATATTGTTGATGGTTTTTCAAGCCCTTGTCATATGGCATGTCCATCATTTGTAGATCACAAAACCGAAGAGGAAACACGTCGTGGATTCTCAGATGTTCATGGCGATGTTCTTAGTTTTGCTGCAGGGGGTGCATCATATTGAGTTGTTTTATATAAGTGTTCCATAGTATTCCAGTATGATAAACATATATAATATCCATTAGATAAAACAACTAATGAAAAAACATATCTAATGGATGATTCCAATACAAATTCACCATGGATATCATGATGTATCCCACCACTGTTTTTTTGTTCCCCACGCCCATCGCCTCGGAGAGATCGGACAAGTGCTGGTGGAAGTCGTGTAAACCTCGGGGTAAATAGATGGTGGTTTCCATTAAATCTAGACATGTCAAAAATCATCACTAACATGTTATATTCCATCCATATTATATGCACATCGAGGTTTCCTAAGTCATGGGGGTACCCCTATATGATTTATATCCATTTTTAGATTGGGATTTTCCATGAAATAAACCATCCAGCGAGCTTGGGGTACCCCCATAACTTAGGAACCCCCCATGTATATCTCCTCTATTCCCAAGGTTCAATGATCTACTGTAGATATTTGCTGATGGTCCCAATAGCCACTGTTCACCTGCAAATAGTCGAAACTTGATGAAAATTGAATGATTAGATATGATTGAATTATCCAAATAAAGGTTTGTTGATAAAATCCACAGAAATCGGAGATAACAGTCTGATGGGTATGTCTGGAAATGGGGGATAACCAAAGATTCATGGAACAACGCTTGCTAACAACCCATATAATTTGGTCAGTAGAAATGATCTGGGAAAATCAGAAAAGTCCTAAACCAAATTAATTTGGTCATTTGGGCCATAATTTTCCCATTTTTTTCAACATCATCTGTGGTGAGGTCTGAAATAGGGCCATTTGGAAATCCAATTGTGTGTTAAAATGGTGAGGGTCTCTAGATTTGAACAAAGGTGCAACTTCTCTTTCTCCTCCTCCTCTTCTTCTTCCGCCTACTCTTCCTCCTACTCCTACTTCCCTCCTTTGCTCCTGGCGTGCGAAAGCTCCGGATGTAGTGGGCCAAGCCTGGGCCCGAACTATCGCGAACTCCGGATGCAGTGGGCCACGCCTGTACCCGAACACATGCTAGAGAGAATGCCAGAGAGAATGCCAAACAGGTTGCCAGATAGAATGCCAAACAGAATATCAGAATACACAAGTAGAATGCCAGAAAGAATGTCAGAAAATTATATGCCAGAAAGTATTGCAGAATAGATGCCAGATAGTATGTCAGATAGAATGTCAGACTACACGCCAGGAAGAATGTCAGAACATAAATGCCGTAGATACTTCCAGATGGTATGTCAGAAACTATGTCAGAATAGTGCGTCAGGGTGGGGATCACTCGAAGGAAGTAGTTGAAATCAGCCCACACCGATGTTCCCAGCAGCTGTCCCCTAACGACGAACCGTTGAGGCAAGTCGCTGAAACCTTCCTCCTGGCCGTGTCGCTGCTAAAGGAGAACCCTGCTAAGGAAGAAACAAAGCGTTGTCCACTTTTCGGCATCTATCCATCTATCTGTTTATCTATCTAGATGTGAAGTTATTTACCTTATTTATTTATGTATAAGTACATAAAGAGAGAGAGAGAGAGAGGGAGAGAGAGAGAGAGGGAGAGAAAGAAAGAAAGAAAGAAAGAAAGAAAGAGAGAGAGAGAGAGAGAAAAAGAGTTATATATATATATATTTAAAAAAAACGGTGTATATTTTTATTGTCGGATTTTCAACGAATCCATTGGAAAGTTCCAGGTGTGGAGCATCCCACTTGTGGAGGCCTGCCAAGGTTGGGGAGGGTTTCAGGTTTGGAAAAATTGTGAAATGATAGAGCTCGCGATAGGGTTCAGGTCCGTGCGTGCCCCAGTTGCATCTATTTCGATGAGTTTCTGGCACTTGCTGTGAGCTCCAGGTCCATCGAGCCGGCAGAAGGAGGGGGAGAGGAGGAAGAACCCACGGAAGAAGAGGAAGAGAAGATGGAGGAGTTGCAATTGTTTAAATCTAGAGACCCCCACTTGGCAGGTGGTGAAAAACATTTGATTTTTTTTTGAAACCAGCACCTGGATCAAAATTGACATTGGGGCTGTAAATCTACCATATTCGTCCATCCCCTTCCTCCGGGTGTTCGAGCGTTTTGGGGCATCAATAAATCAAGCGTTGACCTCGAATGTTGGGGGAAAGAAGGTGATGACCATTGAAAAAATATAGGGTATACTTTTAACTAACTGCCATGATACTTCTGAAGGCTTGCGTCAAATATGTGGGCGTCTGACCTATCCATCCCGTGGTTTAATAATATATAATAATTTTATTTCCCCCCTTAAAATACCGAAAGCGGCTATTTCATGGCGGGTATGCACCATTTTCAGACGAGCCCCAAATATCATTTTAAGTTGGCTACATATTCCCTATGTCCTACCAGGGAATGCCGGGCTCGCGCCGGGGCGGAAGATTCGAAAAAAATACACCAGTTATATGGAAATCAATTGCCTATATAGAAGGTGTTTGAGACGCAGAGTTCAAGCTGTGAGGTGCATAAACGAACGAGCAAATGGTTGTTGAGATGCCAACGAAAGGACATGAAAAAAAAACATGCACAACTGATTGAAAGAACCAATGAATCGATGAATCAGTGAATCAATGAATCAGTGAATCACAAACACTGAATCACTGAATCAAAAAACAATGAACCAAAAAAAACGATGAATCAATGAGTCTAAGGAACAAGGAGTCAATGAATCAATGAATCAAACGAGTCAGTGAAACAATGAACGAATCACAGAATCGGTGAATCAAGGAATCAAAAAACCATTCAATGAATCCGTCAATCATTGATCCAATGAATCAACGAATCAAGGAACCAATGAATCATCGAATCAATGAACAAATACATCAACGAATCCGTGAATTAACGGGTCACTGAAGAAATGAGCCCAGGAACCAATGAATCAGTGAATCACCCAATTAGTTCAATTAATGAATGATTGAGTCAATCACTGAATAAATGAAGCAATGCATCAGTGAATCAATAGGTCAAGGACTCAGTGAAGCAACGAATCATCGAACCAGTGAATCAATGAACCAACCAACGAATCAATCAATTAATTAACCAATGAAACAACGAACTAATGAACCAATAAATCAAATAAATCAGTGACCCGATGAATCAATGAAGCAACGACGAGCGAACAAATGAACGAACGAGCCAACCAACCAACGAACCAAGGAACCAACGCACAAAGTAAAACTGAACCAACGAACCAACGAACCAACGAACCAACGAACGACCGAACGACCGAACGACCGACCGACCGACCGGCCAACCGAACGATCGAACGGATCAATGAGTGAGCTACTTTCTCTTTGTTGGGCTAGAGGCTAGGGCTTCACTGATGAGAGACCTGTTCGCTGAGGCACCTCTTCTCTCGTCAGCTACTTCTTCTCTCTGAGTCCCAGCCACCTCTGCTGTAGCTTCTGCAACTCAATTCTCCTCTCCGCGCAGCCAGCACGGTGCATTTTGCAAGGTCCAGCTGCGCTCCCGCATAGCGCAAACGTGGCAAGCTGCTACCTGCGTTTGTAGCAACCTCCACGCGCTCCCGCACAGGATAGCAGGAGCTTCGCAGCATCACTCATGCTTTCCTGCGCACAGCCGTGCCAATACGTTTTGTCACATGTTGCAAACCCGCACAGCAGGAGCGTCGCACCAAATCGACCAACGCTGTTGGCGCCGACACTGGGGACGATTCCGTGCTACTCCGCGCATGGCATGTTTTTTTCGATTTGCTCTGTGAAATCAAGCTCTCGCTACAGTTTGGTGCACATTTTGACGACCTCATCTTCCAAAAGGCCTCTCTACATCGTGCACATTTTTCTGACCTGACCTTCCAAAAGTGCTCCGATCCCGCCATTCTTTTTGCAAGTTTGAAATGCAAATCGATCTCTTGCTACATCTTGCTACGTCCTGTGCACTTTTTGTCGAAAACTTTCCTGGATCGAGCCGCGAAACCGCAGAAACAGAGACCCCAGGAGCCACACTGCGGGAAAAAAGACGGGGTTTCGCACACGAGAGCGCTTTCACCCGTCAGACGCTCCCGGCTGACATGATGATGTGGGAGGCATGATGGTATGAATGCTAAACATGACCATTGTCCGTAACTCGGAAGTTTCTAACTAAACTTCTTGTGATGATATTTGCATTATTGCTGGGTGTTCCCATTGTATTCCTGGAATGTGTTCCCACTATGAAAATGGGCCATACCTTTCATAAGTGCATCATCCAAGTACTGATGAATCCCTCGGATTTTTTCACACCAACGCGGCACCTGCACTACACTCTTCAGCTGGCGCTCGAAAAGTTGGATGTAGTCACTATGCAGCTCCGTCCTGCAAAAAGCGAGGTGGAACCTCCACAAAAATGGTGATTTTTGATGGGAGGTTTGGGTATTTATAGGGGTACGAAAAGTGAAAAATCATTAAGAAGGACTAAAGGACTGAACATGACTTGCCTATCAAATGGCACCCAAAACATTAGCTAAGCTGGTTTAGTTCGGCTGACGATTGTTTGTGGTAGATATACCCACAACTAGTGGGGTCCACAAACCGACAAAGGGGAAACAACTGAGCCATGAAACTTTCCCCAGCATGCCATACTGGTTGGTGGGCAAAGACGCCTTCTATGTGATGTAAAAACCTTGCATGGCCAGACAACACAACCCCCTATCATAACAGAACGAAAAGGGGTTCTTTAATGGGTCAACTAAAGAATGCTGTGACTGGCTGGTAAAATGCTTAAAGCTGGGTGAAGTTCAACAAGAAATGACTTTGTGTGCGAAAGGGTTCTATATGGGCATCGGCGCGGGGGATGACCCGAGCCAGCGTAAACAGGTTCTGGAAAGCCGTGCTAAGAACATCTGTTTTCCCTGGCCGCGGACACAAACTTGCACAAATACATTGAGGTGAGCTCAGCATCACGTATGTGTGCACGTGCGTGTGAACATCCAGTACTATCGTACACGTGCACGGGTGCATATGAACATTCAATGATAGATATGATAGCGTAGCCGAATCCCTGTGTGAAATTCATATGATCATCAAATAGCATCCGTTCCCAAACCTTGCTGCCGTGGTGGTGGTGGTGGTGATGCTGGTGCTGCTGGTGCTGGTGAAAAGCCATTCTCGTTTCTCTTGGCTTTTGCTGCAAACTGGAAGGTCAGTCGTCCACCAATTCCAGTAGATATTGGGAAGCAACTGATCCTGAACATGTCTTTGGTCGGTGTACCAGGGTTGTGATGTAGGAAGTTACGAGTATATACTTGTGGAGACATGGCTCTTTTTGTGCGTGTTTTTGTTGTGTTTGTTTTCTCATTGTTTTTGTCTTTTGTTTGTTTTTGGTTTGGGTGATCATGACGAATTCAAGGAACTGAGACCAGAATATCGAAGTATCAGACATATATTCGCATAGCCAAATAGCATTACATGCTCACTAAAATAAGAATGTTAACTCCATCACAATTAGCACCGCCCCCCCCGAACAATACGTGCCTGAGGTGGATCGACATCCCATTTCTAGGTCCGTGCAATCAGACACCATTCGTATATACTTGAAGGCATTTTGGTACAAAAGAAAGGGATGTTTGCCCTGGGTTTCAAGAGGGTTATGAGCCCAACCTTGTGACCCTGCGTTTTTTTTCCTTTTCGTTGCTGTGCCCTGGATGGAACGGTCCCGCTCTGTGCCGGTGGAGGGATCGTTTGGGGCTGGGCAAAATGGTGATGTGGTTCAAATCAACCCTTGGTATTCTGAGAGGGTCAAGGAAAACATGACGGTTAGGGCTGCACGTCCAAGACAGCTTCCCCCAACGCCTGTTGTGGAATCTGGAAATGTGGTTTTTGATGGAGAAGGGGTGGTACCAAATCAATGGGATAGGCCCACTGGAGACAGACCAGGGAAAGGCCGAGGTGTTCAAACCATTGGTGTTGGTAGAGGGGTTTTCCTCACGCCGCCCAGCAACTGGAGAACCATGGAGCCAGAGTCAGCAGTGCCTGTGAAGGGAGCTCAGACTGAAGGCGTGATGCCATCCGTCGAGGAGGAGAGGACGCGTGATGCGGGCCGGGTGAAAAGGTCTGCAATTGGTGAGTCGTCTCCTGGTGGCCTTCAAAGGGATTTAGAAATGGAGATAGTGGACCACTTGAGAAATCAAAATGCGCGGTTGATGGAAGAGATTGATAGGCTGAAAAAGCTGCAAAGTCAACAGGGTTCCAGTTCCTCATGGTCAGAAGTGGGGGGAGCTACAACAACTGGTGCTGGGAAGTTTTCTGGATTGGTTGGAACTGCAGTGGATGGGAATGGTGAGCGTGGGGGATACCATACTCCTAGAAGTTCTCACAAGCCTATGCGGGGGAAGCAGGAAATCAAATTCACTCCAAATGGAACACGAGTCCCTGATGGAACGCCCCCTGATAGTGGCAAAGTTGAACCACCTGTTCCTCAACCACCTTCAGAAAAGCCTGCAGTGCCACCTTTTCCCACGTATTTCATGTCTGGTGACAACATGGAGAAGTTTTTGGATAGCTATGACAAGGTTGAATCTGCCCCGAAGTGTATGAAGGTTCAACATGTTTGGGAGCCGAACAAGGAAATGTCCCCAAGAGCTGCTAGGGCGTTTTGGTTGGAACAGGAAGTAGCGTCTTTGAAGGGATCACTTGCCCGTTTGACAGAAGGGAATCCATTTAGCTCTAGTGAGTACTGGTCGCAGAAGTTTCATCCACCCACTGGCCCACCTGTTTTGACGGGTCTCCAGCGGACTGCAGCGAGTGGTGGCAGAGATGGTGTATGTCATCACGATCGGGCTGGCAGTTCTGGCAGTGCTCAAAACGTATGTGGCGGAGGTGACATTGCTCTTCACGATCGGGCTGGCGCTTCAAGCAGCGGTCAAAAAGTATGTCACAGTCACTTGCTCAGCGGAAGTGGTGATCCAGCTCTTCACGATCGGGCTAGCGCTTTGTGCATGGGTTCTCATACAGAATGTCATGGCCGACCTCTACCTCCTCAAGATCGGGCTTCGAGCATTGGTGCGCGAGCCACGGGAGCAGAGGGACTATTTGATTTCAGTCCTCAAGATGCCTGCCACGTTCCTGGTCATGGTTTGGGGGGTGGTGGAGCGGGAGTTGGAACGGACCGGATCTATGGTCCATGGACTGAAGGAAGTTCGATCGCCAAACTGGAACTTCCGGAGTTGCCTGAGAACTCCAGTCCGTTGCAATTTGGGGACTGGCTTCATCTCAGCACGCCAGTGATGAAAGACTTGTCACAGGTCGCAGACTGGTGGTGGGAGTCAACCCTGCGGGAGGCCAAGTGCTACTATGATCAGTGGCGAGGCAGCACTCCACTTCAAAGGATTCAGATCCGCCCCAGGCTGCCTGATGACTTGGCTGAGCGCAAATTTCAGCGCACAGAGCAGAGAGGGGTGCAGATGTTGTTGAAGGCGATCCCATCTGCTGAACAACAGGAGCTCGTCACAGACCGTGCTTTGAGCTCGACGGCCATCCTGTACAAGCTCATGGTGAGGTTCCAGCCAGGTGGAGCAGGTGAAAAACAAATCCTGCTGAAACAACTGACATGTATGCCAAAGGCGACAACCATCCAAGAGGTTGCAGCGGGCATTCGCAACTGGAGACGCCACTTCGGCAGAGCAGAGGAGGTCCAGGCGGTCTTGCCTGATGGGATCCTCTTGCTGAAAGCATTGGACGAGCCCCTTCAGAAGATAGCTTCAATGGATCCACAAGCGGCTTTCAGACTTTCTCAGAGCCGAATGCAACTACAATTGGATGAACGACCTGATCATCACAATTTGTGGTCCTTCAGTCAGTGTCTTTTGGCTGAAGCTGAGACGTTGTCGCTGCTCCAACCTGCATCATCAACTATGTCTCCACAAACTCCTTTGAAGCTGAAGCAGATGCAGGGAGATTCAAAACCTTCCTCTACTACAACTTCGCCTGGTGACAGGGCCAAAACTGGCATGATGGACAAACCCTGCAAGTATTTCATCTCGGACACGGGATGTAAAGCTGGCAAAAGTTGCAAGTGGCTGCACTCGTGGGAAGGTGTCGAGGACAAGTCGTCAAGATGTTGGATTTGTGGCGGCAAGGATCACCGGAAGAACGAGTGCAAGCTCAAAACAGCCGGCAAAAAACAGGGTGAGCCAGGTGCTGGCCCAGGGGGAGGACATGGACATGGCAAAGGAGGAGGTCAACAAGATTCACCTGCAGCTTCAAATGCTTTCTCTACGCCGACAACTGGAGGCAAAGCAGGTGCAGCGGCTGTGAAAGTTGCCAAGAACGCTGATGAATCCTCTTCTACAACAATGATTCAAGAAGGTGGAAGCGGAGTTTTTGTGCCCCCGGAACTTACGAGCTCCACTACCAGTGATGAGAAGGATGGAGGCCGTGGTGGGGGGAGCGAAAGTGGCTCAGCCAACAACAAGACGGCTGAATTGTTGCATGAAGCCACACAACTGCTGAAAACGTTGCGAGTGGACCCCAGGCCGAAGCTCAAGGTCATGCAGCTGTCTGGTGTTGATCAAGCGGACGAAAACTTTGTGCTGTTGGACAGCGGTGCAACACATGGACTTCGACCAGCACGTGATGATGATGAGTGGAAAAATGCAGTGCCTACCTCAGTCCAATTGGCAGATGGCACAACTGAAATGTTTCGCCTCAAGAGAAGGACAAAGATCTTGTTGTCCGATCCATCTGCAACTAACCAAGTGTCCTACATCATGCCTATGGGGGGCCTGTCGGACTTGGACTTTGCTTTGGAGTGGCGTGGAGGCATTTGCAGACTTCACGATGATGCTGGCCGAGAAATTCCAGTGGTGATCCGTAATGGATGTCCTATGATCAGCAGAGATGATGGCTGTCGACTCCTTGAGTGGCTGGAATTGTTCCATGTGCATCAACTGAAAAAGTTAGCTATGGTCCAAACTTTGCTGACTGACCCAGAAGCGCTGGACAAATCTCAGATGAACTTGGAGTTAGCTCTCACTGCCAAACTTCGTGAACTTTTTCCTGATCTTCCTGACGAAGTGATGGCCAAGGTAGTTCCAAACCTGGACCCTTTGCAAATGGACAACTTTGGAGAACGACTGCCTTGGAACCGTAGAAAAAGACGACGATTGGCAAAAGCTTCCAACATCATTGTCCACGTCTTTGCGGGTGAGAATCCAAAGTTTTGGGAAAAGCAACTTTCCACTGCAACGACAGAGGTGATTTGCGTGGATCTGATTGGTGGGTGCAAAGCAGACCTGATGGACCGAAATGTGTATGGATACCTACTGCAACTGGCAGCTAGTGGTCGCATGCGAGTTCTGTTGGGAGGCCCACCTTGC